CCCCTGTCCCACCCCCGGGCCCTCTGACCCCCCACAGCCAGCTTGATGCTCTCTGCAAACCCGCAGCCCTCACACACGCAGCCCTCAGGCCCCCCACACTTCTGGCACCCCTGACACCAGCAGGGACCCCGGGCGCTGGGGCCTGGGCATGAGCATGGAAAGGAGCCAGAGAATGGGAGCTTGGCCTGTGCGGAACTGCCATGGTGGGAGAGGAGAGGGGAGCCCCGGAACACACAGAAGAGAAGGACAACTCTAAACCCTGGCAGATGGAGCTTGTTCAGCCCTGTAAGGCCATCCATCTAAGACAAGGTCACTCTAAACAAACCTACGTCTTGAGGACCTCGCTGCCACCGTCCAAGCTCGCTCGGCCCCGGCAGGTGAACCTTAGGATTAAAGGGTGGGCTCAGTTCAGTGCACACTGTGTCTCACCTAAAAAATCCACTGCACAGGCTTGAAGGCCTTACCTGGATTTGTAAAGCCCTGTATCACCAGCACGCTTGTAACAAATGTGGGTTGAGACCCTTCACAAATCGTTGTTTGCGAAGACTGGCCATGATGATGATGATGGTGTTCTAGGAAGGGCCGTGAGGCACAGGATGTGTCTCCAGCCATCCAGGGACTGTTCCCACCATTGTCAGCACACAGCACTTCCCTTGGTGGGTTTGGGGAGTGTGATGTGGTGTGATGTGATGTGATCTCTGCCAGGCCTCCCCAGATTTTGATTTCAAGCATCATCCCCCACACCACAGAGGCTTTACCTGCCTGGCCCTGCTTGATTGCAGCACATGATTCACAGTCATGGATAACTGGGAGATGGTTAATTCCCCTTGGTCATGAGCCCATCTCTATGTTGCATCTCTTCCCTCATGACCTGAGGTGTCATGGGCACAACAAGCCAGAAATAGTTCCCCCTTATGTTGCCAGTCCAGATCCACCTCAGACACTTTAATCTCAGCAGCTTGATCCGCCTGTCTGTTGTTGGGATGTTCTTCAGTAGCCCAACTTTTGGGTACCAGCCTCAGTGCTGCCCCAGTCCTGTCCCTGCCCCAGGAGCTTGCACACATCCTGGCCAAGGAGAC